GCTGAGCAATCGTCACGGAGGCCGAAGTAAACACACAGGGTTGGGATGACATGAAGTTGAGCTATTGAGCTGGCAACTACCTAGATGGCAGCCTAGCAGCTGTTTGAGCTGTTTTCGCCAGACTATACTTGCAAAGCTATTGAGCTATTTATCAGGACGACGCTTTTGAGCCCGGTTGCTCATTATGTTTGTGCATGAATATTCTCTGCAATTGTAGGATGAGGCAAAGTTCAAGCGGAAATTCCTTCCTTCCTAGATTATCTAAGCGGGCCATTAGGAAGTGTGCCCTACTAGAGAACCTGCTATGCCGATATTGCATGACCATAACTGAAAACTTCCTCGAGTTTAGAATGTACCTCGAGACTACTTTCCACAGGTCCTTGTCCGCGCCCTCAGACGTAATGGGTTTCCTTTGAGAAAACCTATGAAATAGGACATGAGACAAGATATCCTCCCCTTAGACTTACCATAACCCTGATCACATCTGTCGGCCGTGTATCTCTCTTCATAATTGAATAACATGCAAATGTGAACTGGGGTGACCAATTACCCTTTCATAGCATTTTTTTCGAATATCCTCCGAGCGGAGAAATAAAAACTAGAGAATACGCTTTTATTCGAGATCTTAGGAGCTTATCTTGCAAATGAATGCCCATGTGCTTCCAAGCAGCTGAAAGCAGGTGAGTTGGGAAAAATAAAGGCAGCTGTCAAATATGTTTCACTAACAATAGACTAACTCAATCGGTGATACAGCGCAAGTACTGCTTAATGAAGGCAGATAGCAGATGTATACAATCAGCCGACTAGTGATCTCCAGAAGGCTATTCTTTTCCTTGTCAATATAATGAAATGACGTCACGGAAGGTAGTCAACGATTCGAATATATTCTGTTCCGTCACAGTTTCAGCTCCGTTCCTAGATAAGTGAGGGATAGAGCATATATGCTTCACTGATTCTTCGACTCTTCTGAGAGTCTCTGATTTCTTGGGTGGAATTATGGCTCACAATCAGCAAGTGGGCCGATGTTTTCTATTCCTTGATGAAGACTTAAGGGTCTTATTTCATTTTGAAGACTTTGGAGAACTCAGAGTGAAAAAAGCCGCAAAAAAAGAGAAATGGTATAGAATTCAGAAGGTCCATCTCCTATGTATTCCAAACAGAGCCACAATCTCATTTAAGGGGATTCTTCTTTAGTATAATATTTATTATTGATTACTATTATTTCATAATTCGAGTGGTGACAGAAAGTCAGAAACGATAGAGCGGAGAAGGCGTTTGGTGGAGTAGTGTGTAAATCGTAAGCTTTAAGTTATCAGGCCTTTGAAAACGACAAGTCCGTCGAAACTATGGCCAGAATAGAAATTTTCAATCCACCTACAATTTTCCGTCCATTTTGAGGCAGAAGTAAAGTTCATAACTCGTCTTCAATTTTTCTAAAATTTGCAGTTGATCTCCATTAAATATTGATCTAATAATCTCATAGAATCTTGTCAGCGCCATTTCAAAGCCGGTCTAACCCCAAATTGGAATTGTAGAGCTCTTGAAAAGTAATCAATCTTTTGGTAATTGGGAAGTTTGGTTTTGCATCCATTTATATTTGCTAATCAGTCAACTGCGTTTCTTACAATTCCTCACTCGTTATTCCTCTTCATTATTCGTTCTTTTTCCAAGAGCTGCATTTTTCCTAAACTCTTGTTTGGAACTAAACAAAATCCGTCAATAAGATGTTCTAGATGCGATTCATGTTGTGGTATCTGGGTTATATTCCTTTGTTCAAAGAAGATTTAGGATAACGAAACTAATCAGTTGAAATAACAGTTCTGATAGATAAGATGATAATAAGAGTTCGGAACAAGATATGACTTAAGATACTTCCAAATTGACCAACCTTGTCACCATCGGGTAACGAACTTGGTGCGGCTGGTCCTTCAACCTTCTCCTTCTTTGCCATCCCCATCATATGTGGACAGTGACATCTGAAGTATTGAGATTAAGAGAATTAATGACTAGCCAACATAATCAAAGAAACTGAAATCAAAAAAATTATATTATGCGGAGGAAGCGTAATAAGTAGAGCGGTCGATATCACGTGTGTAGGTTGGAACATTCCTTCCAAAATTAACCCTTGACAGTTTTGAATTTCGAAAATAAAACCTTCGTGACTCCTTCAAAAATCTTGATTTCGAAGCTTTTGGCCACCCTGACATCATGCCCTCCCCCCCCCCCCGTTCTGTGGTGGAATGAACTCGCCTCGTATAGCAAACATAGAAAATTTTCCATAGATTTAAGTTAAAACGAGAGATTACGATAAAGGGTGGATGCGGCATAGAAGTAAATGCGTTAGTGGAAGCGGTAGTCAGGGGCCAGAGGATGCGATATGCGATCTTTTCGTGGCCCAAGGTGCGCTAGTTGCAGAACGCTGGGCTTATCAATCTTCCCTGAGCTCCGCCTCCGCCTGTACCCTGCCTATCAGTGGTTGCCAGCAGTTACATCGTCCGATTATCATTTTGAAAGGGTATCTCATTTCGAGCGGCCGTATCATGTAACTTTTATGAGGAAAACGTTATCACAAAACATTGATGTTTGCTGGCATGATGGCCATCAGGTTAATACGTGCAAACGACTCCTCACTAAGTTGCTAGATCCTCCTATGTCGATGGTCAACGGGCAGGGTAATAGGCCCTATTTTGCGAGTTCTAGACTGATTTTTTCGCTCTTTTCGCTACGAACGCATTAGTCAGCATCTCCAGTTTTACTGTAAATCCAACCAATCCCATCGTAATCTCTCGCTTTAAGTTCCATATTCTTTCGGTAACCGATAACCAATTTTCAAATGAAATCTTGCCTATATGGACCAGGCTCTCTGAGGTGCCCAAATGCGCTACTAGGCTTGTCTAAATAGACAAAAAAGCAGTACGGTACATCGATTGGGCCTTCAAATTCATTGTATGGCCAACTCAAACTTCAAGTCCCGATACGATTGGGGATGGAAATCGGTCGCGGTGGGTATCCCAAAAGGGGTTAATCAACAGTTAAAACCTACAGCTTTGGAATTAGACATTGTAGTTCGTTTGGTGGTGAAAGTAGACCGACCACGGCAAGTTTAGAGTTTTCATCAGGCAGACTTTCGTTTCCTCAATGACGCCAACAACACCAAACACTATCGGAGATTTCTTTTCCGATACAAAGTTGCAAAACTTTTTCTTCACGAATGTGGCTATTCTAACAAAAAATCCACTTAGAAAAAAATTTTGCCGTCATATTCAAAATATCCAGTGGGTACTAATTAAAAAGATCTGCCAAAATGTCTACAAATAGAACACTTACAAATATTAATTGTTTTTGTGCATGAGTGACCACAGTGGAATAGTTCGACTATCACACCCTTTGTGGAATTTTGAGTAAAAATGTCTAACGGTTGTTGGGGACCTCCTTCAGAAATTACCAAAGCGATTGAAAACCCTTCGATTGGTCTTTGAAGGGCATAGGGCACAGACCTAGTGGCTTGTGCGTAACGGAAACTGGACTCCATTGTTTGACTCCTCGTGGTAATGTTTGTATGTATATTTGACTGAGCTGTGATTACAATTCAAAATTCTATCAATGACTTGACTTTCGTTCATTGAAACCAGAAAAAAGAGCATTGGTACGAGTTCGACTCACCGTACTTGACGAATAGCGACGAACGCTCCAAGGATTAGAAAACTCCATTGAATAAAAATGGTCATGCTTCAAGGAGCATGAAGTAATAGTGAACTATCGATCGACTAGATGAGGATGGGTCGATTGCGCTCAGATCTGTTCGATAATAGGGGGGAGTGAAGGCGTAAATGCGGCAGCTATGGCGCGGCGCCGAAGACCTTGACCGTGGTGAGTTCTTGGAAACTAGCGCGTCCGTCGGGTAGAGCTCTTTTAGGATTGTCGGCTCGGGAATCGATTTGTATATTTCATCGCAAAATGAGCGCAGTCCTGTTTAGAACGTTAGGAATTGGCCACGCTTTTGAATTGGGGCATAAATCAGTTCATTCGGAATGCTCCACGCACTAGACTTCCATTCAGGATGTCGGGGTGTTTGAAAGGTACCTATGTAACAACTTATTGAAATGTTGAACTTAACTGTTATCTGAAACATTTGTAGCGTTAGACAACTACGCTAACATGATTTGGGTCGATCTGTTCCCTAAGACGCATCAAGTAACCTTTGTTCGAGTCCAAATAGTGCTTGGTAGGTCGAGGCAGGATTCGATCCACTGTTTCTCGCGTAACGGCGCCTTCCGCTGCTGCGCCACCACCGTTTGCCCATAATATCAGGTAAGTTACGAGCGGCTGCACCTCCCTTTTGATCACAGACATTTGGAGGGAGAACATAGGCAGGTGTGGATCAAATAGTACTCCCGACTAAAGATCAAGCTTATTTTTGACAGCAATTTTTTCCCATTTGGCATCGAGGGGAACTGGTTGTCGAATACAGAAAAAGAACAAATAAAAGGTGGTTAAGAATATATGGAAACTATTGTAGAATCTCAATTAGATAAATGAATACGCATATTCGATGTGGAGTTCAAATTCTTGTCCCATTACTCATCGAATTCGTGGAATTTTCCAGAAGCAGTAGTAAACGACCCGCTTCAGGTATTCGTAGATTTCCATTTTATCGCAAAACGCCATTTTTCAAATTTTGTCCTCTTAGACGGGTTCTCACCTACCCTACTTCAGAACCGTCCTTATTTCATTGTTCTTTTATCGAATAGTTGCCCCTGAAATGCTCAACAACTTCAGAGGTCCAAGCAACGAATACTCAGTGCGCAAAAATTTCGCTCCCGGGTGGGCTCGAACCACCAACCTTTCGGTTAACAGCCGAACGCGCTGCCTATTGCGCCACGGAAGCACTGGATGCCACTCGCGGCCTCCACTATGTCAAACTTATCGCTGATCCTGTAAGCGAATTCCTAAAGCGGAACCGTTGAAAAATTCACTATCCTTAAAGTGTTTAATTGCTTGCTCCAGTGGCCCAGTTGATCAGCGCGTGGTGCTTATGAGGATGAGGAATGCCGAGATCAAGAGTTCGATCTCCTCATGGAGCAAAATTTTGCGACTCTCTAATGTGTTTTTCGAAGGGTGACCAATCGTTCCGCGCTCTTCACCGTGACAACTATCTGATGGGTAAAGGTCTCGCCCCGGGTGGGCTATTAGAACATCTGGTGTCCTAAAATTGATTAAGAGCTCACACAACGAGGTCAGGAGTTCGATACTCTTATGGGGCTAAAAAATGCAGCTCTCTTATGTTTCTTTAGACGGTGGTTCTAACCATTTATGCTTTTCAAAGCAGTGTCAACCTTCCGTCCGTACTATTCGAACAAGGGAACCGCATTTGTGATTTCGGGAAAAGAGTGGTCGCATTTTGGGGCTAGGCCCATGCCAAAATTGATCCAGCGCATGCTCCTGTGACCTGATTGGTTACCTTGTGGTACTTGTAATGCGAGAAATTCTTATCAAAGTGGTGTTTGTGGCGACACTGCGAACTTCGGAGGTTTCTGGCACTCCTCAATGACTTGTTGAGTCTATAAAAGGAAGGAAATTCTAAAAACCAAAAAATTAAGTTTGTTTGAGGTAATTTCCTTATATTTCAACAATTTTCACGCTTGTTGAGGGTGACGTTAGACTTGCAGCGTGCGCTTTAGATACCCATAACTGTGTTCAAAGAGCCTCAGCTTGCTTGGCTACTGTGTTGAATTTATTCTCGCTTGAAAAACGAAATTGCAGCGCTAGGTGATTGGTGGCAACAAGAAGATGCGCAGGACCTTGGTAAGCTGATTTGAGCATCTTTTGACGCTGAACACTTTCTTCTCATCTGCTTATATTTAAGAAATACGGAGGCGGTATAGTGGCGAGTGTTGCCATTTCCTCCATCCGTGGTCAAGTACTGAATCCAATTTTGTGTAAGGCAACTAACCTCCCATAATTCCAGTGTCGGTTACTTGGTACCAGACCCATCCGAAAGGATAAAGACACCAACGTCTAACCCCGCAAGTCATTGTATAGGTCACATCGTAGCAGAAGCGGTTACTGTTCCAAACGGAAGTAGAATTCATTGCGCTTAAAAAAGGGCTACTCAACGGCTTTTTTGCTTTTGCCCCTTTTCACTTCTTCCCAAACCACTTTTATTGATGTTCGAAAATATGACATATGTGCTCGTAAATCACGATGCATAGAGCCACAAATGACTGTT